CTTGCTTTCAATTACAGTTATGCATGAAATTCAACTCACAGTGATCAGTCTAATAAAATAGACATAGGTATCAGATTCACTAAGTGATACCACAATCAATAGTGTCAGAAATGTTGCAAGATTCATAAAATGGGGTGCTTATGTTTACAAAAAAATCATCTATGTCTTGAACAAACAAAACTGGTATGGCCAGTCCATGGGCCAACATAGAGACAGACCCATAATCTTACTTGCTTACACTCACACATACTGTACTTGCAATCATCAATTTTCCCTAAACATGCAAAGTCCACACAATAAATTCTTTCAAAGATTATGCAAACTTTCTAGATGTAAGCTGCAGCCTTGAAAGTACTGTGCAAAAAGAAAATAAATGGTAAAAAGAAACTATGCGAAATAAAGATCTGATACAATAAATATGGATTTAATGAACCAGCACTGGGCTTGATGATATTTTTCAAGCTACAATGCTAAAAGACCAATGAAAGAGCGGAGAGTTCGGTTTTGATGGCCTCGCCCCCTGGAGAGAAGGGTATCAGTCATGCATCTTTAGAAGGCTTCACCCACTTTCAGCGTTTGTCTGCTTCTTATTAGTACAAGCATCAAATAAAGCGATTAAAACAATCATCTTGGAAGATGGATAATGTTTTGCAAGATGTGCATGTGTAGCAGCCACACGCTGTGCCTTTTCTGCATCTAGTTTTGCAACTACAGCAAAAAGAGCCACCGGTACTGAGACTGTCGCCAACCCAGGCAGGCAGTAAGCTTTATCCAGCCCACAGATTCAGACTCATCTGTTTTCACTATGCCATTTTTTTTTATTAATTTTTCCTCCCCAAACCTGACAAAGCTATCTGATGATGAACCAGCCCCATTATTTTTCGTACACCAGCGAGAACAGATAGATCCCTGAATATTGTGCCTTCACAGAACCAACATTATCCCTCTATGTCAGAGGTGGGTAATATCCTGGCAGTCGTGGAGTCCAGAGGTGCATACAGAATGATGTCATTAATCCTCCGGGGCAATCTTTTTCTCTCTACCTCCGTCTCTCTGTCTACAACTGCTGAAAACAGAACCACATTTGCATGCTGCATATGTTGCCAGGTGGCTCTGTGGGCTGCAGGTACAAATTAGATTTTCTGACAACAAGGTGGAAGAGAAGGAGGAGTAGTGAGACCTTCTTTCTTATTTTCTTTCTTCAGATCGACTAAACAGTGGAATAAAAAATAAATAAAGGCTTGGCATTTTTTTAAAGTAATGCATATTACCTGCTGTGCGCCATACCTGAGTTTTAAACTAAGATCATTTTATGTTGAGAAATGAAAAGTTTTAAGCATTATTGTCATACCTTGACCAGATCTCATTAGTCTCCCTTCTTATAGACTTTGTTGGCAGAAAAGTTGATTTATGAGATACTTTTGCTACGCGTTAAACATGGTTATCTCAAGCAATCCTTCATCCAAAGGACTTCATCAATCCGAGGAGCCACACACAAACAAACTCAGTCCCACAAGCAGCACACTCCCATAGTTGACCAACCAGTTTGCTGGTGATAAGATGGTTTCTGGGGCCCGCCCTCTCCCCTGTCGACTCCTCTGAGGCAGTCATAGCCAACAAAGTTCATTCAGGTCAAATGGATGTTTTCTTCTTTTTTTTTGTTGAGATGTTTCATCCTTCATCCCAAGGACTTCATCAATCCAAGGAACCACACACAAACAAATTCAGTCTCAGTCCCTCATATGTGAGTGCGCTGCTTGTGGGACTCATTTTGTTGTGGTTCCTCAGATTGATGAAGTCCTTCGGATGAAGGATGAAACATCTCAACAACAACAAAAAAAGAAACCATCCATTTGACCTGAATGAACTTTGTTGGATTTTCTACCTGGATTATTGAGCATGAACTTTGGCTTAAATATAGATCAGTTGACTGTGGCTACTGTCTTGAACTGTGTTGGCTCAAAAAGTTAATCACTTCTACATATTCATTCATTCAACCTTTATTTAGATAGGTAAATCCCAATGAGCCTCGAGGACTCATTTACAAGAGAGACCTCATTTCAACAAAGAATGATGACAACAATGGACAACAGTGACAACAATAAACATTTATAACAAGTCATACAATTTTTTTTTTTACAAATAGGATGGCTAAAAAAAAAGTAACAAAAAACAGCTAAATTAACCTAGCTAGATTAGGTATCACCCCATTATTTCCTGAAAGTTTCATTAAACTCTTAGTACAATAACTCATGAATCACTAAAGTATTGTTTGATAACATGTGGTAAAGAATTGGCTGACCTGATATCAATAAAATCAATAAAATATTATTGGACTTCCACTGTTAGGGTTGAGGCCAATGTCAATCGTTTTATTCATAAATTAACCTCACATGATGAGCCAAAAAAACTATACAATAAAAATGATGCAAATCAATGGCAATAAAACATGCTGTTTTGTCAACAAAAAAATATATATTTAAATTAAATTAAAAGAAAACTCAAATTTAAAATCAGAAAGTACACAGTAGGGTTTATTCAGAGTGCTAACAGATGTCAAGAGTTGGGAGGGTAGGCAAGCTGATTGCTATTTTGCCCTATATTATGGACATTTAATTGTAAAGAAAAAATAATAATAATAAAATGAATGACTCTATATACACACTAGTAACTAAAACCCTCATTTTGGCACCAAGTATAAATGAGTCAGAGTCAGAGTCAGAGTTTCTTTATTGTCATTCGCACCTCATGTGGTACATGTGGTGGAGCGAAATTATGTACACAGGGTCCCAGTTACATCCAACAATAAAATGTCTAAGAAAAACAGTAATAACATCTAAGATATGAACTAAGAAAAACATCAACTAAATATACACTAAGCACTCATAACATAAAACATTGAACATCACCACAAACATGAACATGAGTCTGTGAGCAGATGTGCACGCATGAACAC